GAAATCACAAAAGAGTTCCCCTACCAGGTCTGTTTACTTCGTGACTTTGTTCCCGGTTACCGGGTCTGTATACACTTTGATAATTAAATGTCCTCTATTATTAGTATTATCATAATTATAGTCTTTATTGTGGACTTAAACAATTCAATGTTTTTATGTTCTTTACTTGGACCTCTGCTTGGACCTTGTTGTTGTGGGATTTTTTCAAATAATAAAATAGATCACATTTTTTAAGTTTTTGTTTTTTGTTTTCTGATGTGCTCATATTATTATTATTACTGTCCATTTTTACAGGGAACAGCTCACCCCAAGGGTGATTCTTTTTCCGATTCATATTTAGGGAAAAAAATTATACGGGCATAAGAAATAATCACACAAAAAAAACAACCTACCGGTACACCGATTTTGAGAGATAAGCCACCGACTTCTTGATTCTGCAGGGTGATTGCCAGGCCCCGGGAATTACCCAGGAATTTGAAGAAATCTGTAAATTGCCCCGGGAAAATACATAAAAGTTATCGAATATTTGAAAACCAAATCCGAAAAAGCCCTTAAGTTCATTTTTGCCGGTCACAATTGTGAATTCATTCGGCTTTCCACGGACTGAGAGTACGTTTCTTCACGTGAACAGGCAGCTATGGTGGTAAGCGGAAGTATGTTTGATACCAAGGTTTGATAGGGAAATGTCAAGATCTACTTTCGCTTTCGTTACCACCCAGAAATTTGCTGGTTGTAGTTTGAAAACGCAACATTAATTGTAACATGCAGGTTGTGCATGGCAAACACTGTGTGTCCATAAAAAAAAAATCAATATTTGTCCTGTAAAAGAAAGTTATAGTTATACAAGCGTCTTGTCGGGCTCGCCATCATGACCGGTCATTGATCCTGGGCGTTCCATCACATTGTGAGTACCGGCAATTGTAGGGGTCACCAAAGTTCATTCGAAGTCTGAGCGCTGCGAAGTATAGGACTCCGGAATGGGGGGGGGGGGGGGATTATTGATTTTAAAAAAAAAAGATACACTCGGGGGAAGGTTGAAGGCTACACCAGGGGACAAAAATTGACCTTGGAAACAAATATATTAGTATTCTAAATTTTGATTACTACTAGATCTAGAACTCTCTGCAAAACCCCGCGTTGGTGCAGGCGTTGTGTGAAACCGGGATCCGTCGCAAGGCTAGGCGTAAGTCATCCAAGGCCCATCTTTTCTTCATCTTTTCTTCTTTGCTTCTGTTCTTCTTTTTTTTTTCCCTTCCATTTGTGTGTGCGCGTGCATGTATGAATAGGACAGGAACGGCTGTATAGGGTAAATGCATCTGGAAGTTTTCTTATTTTTGTCTTTTTTTGTCTTTTTTTTTTGTTCTCGTCATTTTCTACATTTGTTTGAAGTCGCAAACACATTCATGCATATTTGATGTGGGTCAAAATATTGATAAGGGTCCCAAATTAAGTATTACGGCAAGGGGTAATATAGCCTACTACAGATTTTTTAGGTCAACTACAGATTTTGGGACAAAAATTTGTGTCAACTACAAATTTTGGCCCCAGGCAATGTTGGCAGGTATGCTTCCTTTGTCTCTTCACCTGGAATGGGTATTATTAGTGACATTTATTTTAACATCTGAAACAATACACAATAATATGACATAATTAGAAAAATCAGTGGCGTGACCGTGATTGGAACCTGTGAGTGAGAGAAGCAAACATGATTAATAGTCCAGCAGCATAACCCCAATGCCAAACAGCTGGTGTTACCAGTGAGTAAAAAAAAGTTATTTTAAACCTACACTTGAGTATATCAATTTTCAAAACTCCCAAAACGCAATTATTTTTTTACATCAGAGGGTTTTGAGGAGGTTCCTTCGCAAAATTAGGAAAGCTGATGCGATCGGCTTCAAAAAAAAAGAAAGAAAGAAAAAAAAGTAAATTTCTGAATGGACTCTACCTCATTTGCATATAAAAAAACTTCCTTTTTTTTTTAGTTGCCATCGTGGACAAGCACTTCTTTCTCCGTACCGGTCTGCTTGTATTTCGTTCTTTTTGTACGCCCGTGTTGAGGTAAGGGGAGAAGCGAAAAATTATACAAATAACGATTTCGTTTCGCACGTGTTTTGAACGGAAGAAGAAAAGGAAAAAAATAACCTATCCCTAAAACTTACCTTAATCAAGAAGGCAAGAAGTGCTGCTCCTGATCAGGGGGGGGGCAAGGGACCCCCCCCACCAATTACCCTATGAGAAAAGAAAACCTACCCTCAGCAACGAGCGACCACCTCAATAAACACAATAAAGAAGAGTCAAGAGTCCTAACCCGAACCCTGACCCAACCCCTAACCTTACCCCTATCCCAACCCTAACCCTAAAAACCTAACCCTCAACAAACACAATACAGAAGAGACCTACCCATACCTCTACCCCTAACCCTCAACAAACACAAGCCTACCTCCACCCCTGCCCCAACACTAACCCCAACCCCTAGTTCCTACCCCTACCCCAACCCTACCCCTTATCCTAATAATCCTCAACAAACAAAATAAAGGAGAAACCTACCCCTACCCCAAACCCTAATCCCAGCCTTACAACCCTAACTCTACTGCAAACCCTACCCCTACCCCCAACCCTTCACAACCTCAATAAAGAAGAGGCCTAACCCTAAGCCTACTCCATCCCACCCCCACCTCTAACCCTCAACAAACACAACAAAAAAGAGACATACTATTACTCCTACCCCTAACCCTACCTCCACCCCGACCCCAACACTAACCTCATCGACCTACCCCTAACCCTAAACTCAGACCTTCAAGACTTTAAACTGGGCCTAAAAATGTGCAAACTACCGTACTTTTGTCATGAACAGATGGTATAACAGTGGCTTTCGGCCTCCCGTCATGATTTTGGATGCCATTGAGTATAATCTAGATTTAATAGTGGTCCCTTGTTACGGAAGTCCTCCCTAATAAAATGTAGGCCTAACCTTACGTTGATGCAAACAATACAATATTAAAGGGAGGACTTCCGTAACGAGCGACCACTATGAGTTAAGAGTAGAATAGAAGGCTAGAAAGAAAATACAGTGGAACTCGGATTCAACGAGCTCGGTTTCAACGAGAACTGGGATTCAACAAAATGAGATAGATTCCCCGTTTTTTTCTTCTTTAAAATCAATAAAAATAACCCGGATTCAACGAGCACTTAAATCAGCGAGCTCGGATTCAACGAGGTCGCTTCAGGGTGAACAGCCCCCGCAGACGTGGCTTCTCTCATTTTTCTCCCAGAATTAATTTTATATATTCCCGGAAACCATCCACTGCACCTGCATCGTGAACCATTATTCACTTACCCGATTGCATGCGACCAATCAGCGGTCTTCTTTCATACCAACACATGCTGCGTTGTTGGCACTCGCACATGTCTACTCTGGCGTGTGTCGGGGTCGGATGGGCGGTCTGCACACGTGTGGCTGTGTGTGCATGTCGGGAGGGGGGGCACTAGCGGTCCAGGCGTTGAACGTCGCACATATAAACACGTCAGTCTTTTTTCCCCCCTCTGCAACTGATCATTATTACAATAAACTTTTTTGACGTAGATCTATGTAATGAATTGTGCACTGGTCTATTGAATCATAAGTTGCCGTATGCTGGACTCTTCACACTCACAACAACACAACTTTTTGGTAAACAATCGAGATGACACAGGCGTGTGCGTTTGAACGAATCGATCTTTTTTTTTTTTTACACAACTTACAAATATGCAGGCATTTCAGGCACTACTTGTGACTTCGCCCTTAATTATTTATACAAAACCTCATGTTTGCTATAACGAACACTCGGATTCAACATGATTTTAGGCCAGGCCCGGCGACCTCGTTGAATCCGAGTTCCACTGTATAGCAATGAGAGATGATTTTTAGTCATTTCAGCACTTTTTTGGTCCCTTTTGACATGTAAGTATATAAGAAGAAAAGCGCTCCCCTGGCTTCAGTATATATATCTCATATTTTCACTTCTATATGAGGTACACATACATAACTTTCAGCATTTCTTTGCATTACTCGAGGCAATCTACCTGGGAAGTTTGAATGATACTGTGGTTGTTATTTTTTAGATATGACCTTTCAAAGCTGGAAAATTATTGATTTCATATGACACCTTCGATATTGCATAATCACTTTTAGAACCCCAAAGTATTATAATTGGAATAAATCTTCAATATTGTATCGCCATCTGATAGATTATTTTTTAACCTTCAGTTTGATGTGCCATATAATATGGTTTGTGTGTGTTTAGTTGGATGTTTTGACATTTTCCTTTGGCAGGGTAGGGCGTAAAAATAGGTCAGGGAAAAGCCCTGGACCAGTGGTTGGTTTTGGCCTAGTAGGAAAAGAGTTAAAACATCAGGGATTCTCTCTTTTGTAGAGAGTGGCGTTGTTAACTTAATGGTTAGGCTACCTGACATGTAATCGTGAGATTGCGAGTACGGGGGTTTGAGCCTCAGCTCGGTTCGACATTGTGTCTTTGGGAAAGGCACTTTACAGAAATTTCCTACCTGGGTCAGTCCTTTCGGAGATTGACATTAAACCCGGAGGTCCCGCTTCCTAAATAATCTAATACAGTAGTCTCCGCCTAAGATCCCGGTGCTTGGGAGTAAGGAAAATGCGGAATCTTAGCCGACAAACCCAGGGAAGAATCTGCTGTGACCCATGTTTAGGCCCAGAACCGGAAAATAGTCTCCCTCCAGTCTAAAATGAACTGATGTGACCCCTGGGTGGGTTTATGACATGTGGTGAGAAAAGAGTTGGTCAGCCTTGATGACAATTACATGCCATTTACGGTTGACCTGATGTGGCTCATCCCCTTTGTTTGATATATAGGGTAATGGTTAAGGGATAAAAGTAGTGCATTGTTTTTGAGTGTGTAGATTCAGCTATATGTATGAATTCTTGGAATTTAGCTTTTTTTATTGGGTGACCAGTATATTTAATTTCTTTTTTGGGTCTTTTATAGCTTCTGATGACTGCCAGATACCAGACAGCCTTGGCCACTCTGTTGGTGTTGAGAGATATGAACTGTTGGCTAAGGAGGCTGGCAATGATGTGAGTATGAGAAGATGGTTTTAATGACACCGGGTTCAGGGAATTGTTTGCATTTGTTCTGGATGAATTTTTAAGATTTTGATCCTTGACTGAATGCAGAATGTCACAGGGTTACCCAAACTTTGTAGCTTTGAGGATTAAGAAATCGTTTCATTATTGATTGAGCAAAATTAGTTCTGATTTGCTCTTGTGACTAAAGGGAATGTAAGCAGAGTGTGGAGTAGGGTAAGTTATTTTTTTCTATGCTCACAGCCTTTTTATGGCATACTGTGTTAATCCCATTTGCTATGTAACTGCAGCAATGAATGTATCCAAACTTGTGGGGACTAAATTTTATTTTACATTGATATAGTGAAACTTGTTTGTAATGAAGTCTTTGGGGCCTGACCTTCAAGTTTGTTATTTTCAAGTGTTTGTTTTAAGAAAGGTGTGACTAAGGTGAGGATTTTAAAAATGGGTAATGATAGGGACATCTGTTGAGCGTGTCATGATATAAAGAGAAAGAGCCATAGGTGCTCCGAAGTCTTGTATGTGCTGTTACTTCTTTCTCTCACACAACCCTTGAACAATTCAGTCAGGCTTGGTTTCAAGCAAGAATCAGAGTCGTTATCGTGTCTTTTCTGCTTTTCCAAACATGTTTTAAACTAACTTTGAAATCATAAACTGCTATTTTCAAACGAAAGGCATTGTCCTTTATTTGATGCCATGGCTAAAGCTAAAGTGCTCTAGATAGACTATGGTTAATGTGGAAAATTGAAGTGTTGCTGAAAAATACGTAGGACTGTCAAAGCCTATACCAGCTGGGTAAAAAAAACCTGTGTCATTTGATGTAGGCCTATTGTTTGCGAAACAATTTGCATTGCAATGTAGTGGACTAGGCCTAGGGTATGACAGCATGTGGTTTCACAGATGTGCACGCAACTCATTATTTAGATCTGAACCGAGCAGGACAGCGCAGTATATGATAGATACCAGACTTCATGTGTGATGCGATCGAGAAGAAGATTATGTAGATCGAAATCTAGCCTGTCACTGTTCAGTAGCGTGGAAAAAAATATGACAATGACGTGTCTGCATCCCTGCTGACATTTTACCCTGCGAACTCTATACCACCCACCTCCTCAAACTAACAAACAAGACTCGCACACAGCCTCACGTGTGCCGAATGCCCATTACCTCTCTCACATCTGGTACATGTCTCAGAGGCATATACATTGCATGTTTTGATGTGAAAATTATCCTCCAATTGGGTAGCACACGATGACTGTGTGTCTCTGATAAGTTAACTGTGTTGTGCAGTGTGTAATGTGCATGAATGTGGAATGATCCACAGTGCAGGGCGATTGATGATGTTGTGAAGTAGGCTAGAGGCAATAAAGTTTGTTGCAGAAGAAAAATGCGTGAAGCCACATCAGCATTGGCTGATTGCCTTGTAACTTGTGTGATTTCATTGAATCTGACTTTACTCATATACGTATTCGTTCCGTTATATAAAAGGTATTTTGTTGATTTTAATGAAATGTACACCTCCTAAACACTGATTCCTTCTCCTTTTGTTAAATCTTGAGTTTGTAGTACTTGAGTTGTATAATCTTAATGGAGCTGCTGTCTGAAGTACTTGGTGGGTGGTTGACGGGTGCTCTGGTGTGGTTTGATTTTTCTTTCCTATCAAGCGTCTATCGTCTTTATCTCCCCATCTCCTTTTTTATGTTTGTTACTGTCTTGTAACATCTCTAATCTTCTGGCCCTCATACGACCTTATGCAGTTGCGAGCGCCGTAAAACCTCTACTAAAATTTTTTTTTAATGAAGTATTTGTAATATAGCATCACTATGAATTAACGAAGAGGGGTGATTTAGATATTGTCCACAGAATGGGGTCCCCATTAAAATCATTAAAAATTCTCTTTTATAAGGGTTCCTACTTTAATATTAGCTATGCTGACATTATTCATTGTATACAATGAGCTGGAATTTTGAAAACAGGAAAGAATTGCGTTCATTTGTATTTGATGTTTTGGTATAATCTTAAGATTATGTACATTGAAAGGGTAATCTGAGGGTGCTGGGAAACATTTCCATTTAAAGGTAGTTTAGGTAATTTGTGCTCCTCTTCTCACCATTGTTGATGCAAGATTTGACCTTAATGTTGTCTGTAAGGCCTAAGTTCTACCCTTTGTCCTCACCAGGGAAAGTGGTAACAGGACAAAGTAGGGGGTTGCTAGGTGTGGGTGAAGCACTGTGGGGCTTTATGTCACCGAGGCAATACGATAGCCATGAAGGCTGACCAGGGTCATCATGCAGTGTTGAAGGTCAAAGGGGCTCTGGTGAAACCGTGACTCGTTGAGCAAGCCGACAACAAATAAATCTTGCTGTGAAAGAAACAAAGGGAAAAAAAAATGGACTGATTCTAGTGGCAACAGATCTGGAAACGTAACCAACTGTACTGCAAGCAAGATCAACGATCAAAACAGGCACGATGGAATGTCAACAGAAGTTAAGAAAAAGAAAATTGTACTGGACTCTTCAGACGTAAGGAATAAAGACAACTGCAAGGTGATTCATGAAGGCTACCTCCTGATCTGCAGTGGATCACCTGAAGAAGAGAGCTAAACATTTGCATACACCCAACCAAAGTTGATATAATAAGTGAAATCAACCGAATTTCAGTAAATCAGTCAGCATAATACTCATAGAAGGTGGGAAAATAATTTGCATTCAAACATACGCTTCTTGCAACAGCAACTATGCAGAAGACAGACTAGCAATTCAGAACGACTATGTGAACACCATCAACAACAATGAAGATATGTATATCATGGGAGGTCTCAATGGCAGAGTGGGTCAAAGACAAACCCCTAAGGAAGAGTACTTGGGACCCAACAGTGATGAAGACACAGACTGCAATACAGTCCATGCCGGCTTTAAGTACGGTCATCAGGAGAAAGCTTAAGCGTGCTTAAAGCCAAAGCGTGCTTAAGTGCGAAGTAGACATAATCCAGAGATTTTCATGTTGAAAATTCCCTGTGCTATTTCCCTTTGTTTGTAAGTAGGCCTATAGTTGTCCCGCAAAAGTGTGCACTGTTTTTTAGACACCCGCCATGGTAGTTTTTGTTCGCTTGTTTGTTTTTGTTTTGTGGTCGAATGGGAAATGAAAACTTAATTTAGACGGCCAGTCACGATACAGCACACTAGGCCTACTGTAACACACTGCCTGTGCGTACCACTGCCCGCTGTGCCACTCATACCACCGCCTTCATCCCACCTCGCGCGTGATACACAATCAGGACTAATGGATAGCGAGGGTCAAAGGTGAAATCGCAGCCAGCCTCCCTTTCTCGTCTCCCCGGCCCTGACTCTCTTTGTATTTTTTTTTTTTTGGTCGTGTGTAGCTTTGCCCTAGGCCTAGGCTAGATCCTATGTCCGCGCGCATGGCTGTGTGCATCTCTCTGCCTTCCTCTCCGCCCATGTGAGTGTGTGTGTCCATCACTTGCGTTCTTTGTGTTTCTCTAGACACACTCCACTGCTGCAGTGTACACTGTGTTCGAACTTCGATGGGTCATCATGAAAATATTGACTGTCTTGAAGCCGAAGTTACCGTGCTTATAGGCGTGTAATTTATATAGCAAAAATTCAGTAAGAGCCGTTTAGCGTGCTTGAGTCCGAAACGTGCTTAAGGCCGGCGTGCTAAAAGCCGGCACGGACTGTACTGCCGTCTTAGGGAAAAAGGACGAATATCGGAAATTGGGTCAAATAGAGATATCGATACCATGTGAAAGAGTATGAAAAGCTGCCTCTTTTGAACCAGTGGCCATTACATTTAGAGATGTTCGAATACTTTATTTTGGTATTGAACGTATCGTCATAAATTTTTCTTTTTAATTTATTTTATATTTTATGAAAAAAGGACGAATACCGAGAGGTTCGTCCTCAGTTTACGAAAAAGCGACGAATATACCGATATTCGTCCTTCTTCGCCAAAACATGCCTACGTTACAATGCCAAGGTCTTATGATGAAATACCAAAAAGCTCAAATCCTGGTATATCCAGCTTTGATCCTCGCTGTGTCAAGTGTGTTGCACGCAGTAAGACGACAAGCACCACTGCTTGTGTACACTCACCAGTATTTGAACCCCGGATCTTTGGCTCCACTGGCAAAGCGCAATTAAATAACAGTCTGGAAGCCCGAAAACACTTACATAAAACCAGATGAACCTCAAATATCACAGAAACGAAAAATCCAGTACGTTACTATTTGACAACGTCGGGTGAAAGAAAGACGAATATCGCTATTCGTCCTTTTCCCATAAAAAGCTAATCAAAACTTCATCAATCTGTTATGAAAGGATGACTTTTGTTTTCTCACACAAAATTTTGTTGATATTTCCAAACAAAATTTTAACTACAAGTGCATAATTGCTCCATCTTCCTCCTGCAAAAAATCAAGTTAAAAATAAAATAAAAAACCAATTTTTTAAACGTGAGACGAATAAATTTGATTTTTTGGCCCTCCTTGAAAATGGGTATGTCGCGATATTCGTCCTTTTTGCCCAAGACGGCAGGATAACAATGGAAGAATAGTACTGAACCTATGCAATGTGCTTGACATAGTGATCACTAATTTTTTCTCACCCGCGGTAAACGAAATTAAGAGCTATCCTGATGCTCAGAAAACGAAGACATACAGCCAAAGATTCGAGAGCAGTCCAAAACTGCATTATTGACACAGACCACAGATCTCTTACAACCAGCAAAGTCACATAAACAAAGAAGCACAGTGATACATACAAGAGAAGTGAAAGAGCCAAACATCAAAAAGGCAATCGAGGATGACATGACTAAAAAGTACAATAAGCTGTCACCTGAGATCAAAGACATAGAAGAAGAGTGGCAAACGTATTCGCACATCGGAAATACAGTGGAACTCAGATTCAACAAGGTCACCGGGCCAGACCTAAAATCTCGTTGAATTCGAGTGTTCGTTATAGCAAACATAAGGTTTTGTGGATAATTACAGGCACTGAGCAAGTAATGTGCAAAGGGAAGTCACAAGTAGTGCCTGAAATGCCTGCATATTATGAGCTGTGTAAAAAAAAAAAGACTGATTCGTTCAAATGCACGCCTGTGTCATCTTGATTGTTTACCAAAAAGTTGTGTTGCTGTGTAGAGCCTAGCATACGACAACTTTTGATTCCATAGACCAGCGCACAATTCATTACGTAGATCTACGTCAAGACTAGCTTATCATTGTAATAATGATCAGTTGCCGAGGGGGGAAAAAGACTGACGCGTTTGTATCTGCAACGTTCAACGCCGGGACCGCTATTGCGCCCCCCCCCCCCCTTCTCCAACACGCATGCAGGCTGCCCATCCGACCCCGACACACGCCAGAGTAGGCGCGTGCCAACAACGCATGTGTTGGCATGAAAAAAGGCCGCTGATTGGTCGTTTGCAATCGGTTAAGTGAATAATGGTTCACAACGCAGGTGCAATGGATGGTTTCCGGGAATCCGGAAATAGATAAAGTTCGTTCAGGGAGAAAAATTAGCGAAGCCACGTCTGCAGGGGCTGTTCACCCTGGAAGCGACCTCATTGAATCCGAGCTCGCTAATTTAAGTGCTTGTTGAATCCGCGCTATTTTTATTGATTTTAAAGAAGAAAAAAAACAGGGAATCTATCTCATCTCGTTGAATCAGAGTTCCACTGTATAGAAGAAAAGAGTTATCAGTTATGGAATGAAGTGACTAAGTGGAAACAAAGGCAGAAAAGCATGCAGGTGAAAAATGGTGAAACCAAAGAAGCAGTTCAGAAAGAAAAAGACACTATTAAAAATAATTGCAGAAGTTGAAAACTTTACAAGACCTATACATGACAAGAAAATGAGAAGAGAGACCAGAACAGTTATCAGCACTGTTAAAGAATACTCGTGGAAAATAAATAGCAAGGATCTGGCTGAAGTTCGCATAGAAAATCCTAGATAGTTTTATAAAAGTGTGAGCAGCAAATTAATAAGAAAAGAACCATACAGTGGGACACACGACAAAGAAGGAAAGTCTGCTCGGCAAAAGGGATGTAAAGAAAGGTAGGAAGATTTCTTTCAAGAACTTTTTAACCCAGATGGTGGTAGTGGACAACAAGGAGAATACAGCATTGACAATGAACTTAAATTCAGTCCTAAGAACAAAGCCCCAGGTCCAGATGAAATCACAGTAGAAGCCGTAAGAGCTTTTGGAAACACGTTTGCAGTTTCTGAAGGGAGTTTTTATTAGAACCTGGAAATTTAAAAAATGCCTAGAAAGTTTGCTGTAGGGCATGTGGGAAAAGAAAGGCAACTAGAGTGATTGTACCTAGAGAGGATTTTTATAAGTAAACAAGTTTGTCTGTAAGAGTGGTATCTATTGTGGATGCTGGGGAGGGATTAGATCCAAGCCTTTTGGGTCTGTTTTTGTTTTATTGACAGAATTTTCATGCAAAATAATTTTTCTTTCCAGGACCCTTTCCAGATGAAACCCATTAAGAGGGCAAAGGGCACTTTTGATGAACCAACTATTGTGACTTCACCCAACGCAAAAAGGATGATTGGATGCATATGTAAGTTATTGTTACTTGGTTACAGACAGATTAGATAAACAATACAGTGACCAGTCACCTCACACATGAGTTGTGGGCGGGGCTTATAGGTTATGACGGATCATGCTTCCCTCACCAGCAGTTGAAAATTTATTGTCAGGCCTACTCATTGGTCAACTTGGGTAAACATTCACTGGAGGGACTAACAATAATGACAGGTGAATGAATTATAACGGCCTGTCCCCAGCGTGAGGGGCCGATTCAAAATTTATGCAGGGTTCCCGCGGCCTCCTTGAATTTGCATTCAAGGAAAAATGTCCTTGAAAACTCCTTGAATTTGCATTCAAGGAAAAATCTCCTTGAAAACTCCTTGAATTTTGCCAGATCGGACAGGAACACAGGGTGACTGCAAGGCCCCGGGAATCCCGGGGGCCCCTGAAATTACCCGGTCGCGATTGTGATATAATATTATTATCATATTCGTTCGGCTTTTCCCAGCCTGAGAGTACGTTACACGCGCACAGGCGGTTATGGCGGCAACAAGTGGAAGTGTGTGCGATACTGAAGCTCAATCGGGAAAATCAGGATCTACTTTCGCTTTCGCTACCACACAGAAATTTGCCGGTAGGGCCTTTAGTACATTGTAGTCTGATAACGCCACATTTGTAACATGCAGGTTCTGCATTACAAACGCTGTGTAACATGCAGGTTCTGCATTACAAACGCTGTGTCGCCATGAAAATACATCTTTTGTCCTGTGCTGTCACTTGTGAAAAAGAAAAAAGAAAGTTATACAAGCTTCTTGTTGGGCTCGCCATCGTTACCGGTCATTGAACCTGTTCGTTTTCGTCACATCGTGAGTATTGGCGTGAGGTCACCAAAGTTCATGTAAAGTTTGAGCGCTACGAAGTATAGAACTCAGGAATGGGGGGATTATTGATTTTTTCAAAGACGCACGCGGGGGAGGGGGGAAATGGGGTTGAAGGCAACACCGGATGACAAAAACTGAACTTGGAAGCAGATTTTACTTTTCAGAATTTTGGTTACTATTATACTAGATGTCTAGATCTAGATCTAGATCTATATCTAGATTCTAGAGCTCGCTGCAAAGTGCGCGTTGGTGCAGGCCTTGTGTGGAATCGGGATCTGTCACACTCAAATCTTGTAAGCCGTCTTTTTTTAAACTAAAGGGTTCCCGTTTCATGGGGTAGGTGATAGTAAATTATGATAATATGTATTGTATATTCTATATTTAAGCTTTCTGTTCAAGATTCGCAGATTTTCAGTGTCACTGCATCTTTCCCTCCCACAGTTCTAACTTACACCTCTCACGCTGAATAGGTCTACTTGAGCCATTCATGTTAAGATGTTATTACTCTACTTTGAGTTTGAGCAATAATTTTTGTCTTTCATGTTTGTTATATAAACCTTGACACCTACATTGGTTCTTGGCCGTCGATATTCTGGTTCTTCTATGCCTTTTCTCAGGCTCAAAGCAAGATTCATTTTTATATAGTTCATATTTAAGGCGAATAATGATCAAGGGAAAATATAAATAAGCATAAGAACAGACTGAAATACCTAAGTCACACAGTATCCCAGTGCCACACCGACATGTTGTTGACTGGATATAATGTACCTACATCCGTGCTATATATTATTTTAATAATATGACGATTATTTTAATAATATATAAATGGAGCATGCACTGTCATTGTTATGTAACATGTCCCTGGAGAATGGATGAGCCCCCCTGGAAAATTGAGAAGCTGGTGGGTGGCAGTCACCCTGGGAACAGTTTTTGTAGGAAAATCGAAACTAAGATATGATTCCTTTCTGACATATGTAGGCGTATTGAAAATAGGCTTTGGTCATGAATTTCTTGACCAAATCTCCTTGAATTTTAAAAATTTCTCCTTGAAACCTCCTTGAATTTGATTGGAAGTTCATGGCAGGAACCCTGTTTATGACAAAGCATCGGGCAATGAGGGACCACTCCTGGCCGCCTGAGGCAGGTAAATTTGACAGTGGGTCGATAAAATAAGGTGGCTGCAGCCGCATTGGACAGGTTTTGCCTGGTTAAAGCTTATAGAAAAGCACAAGGGGTGTAGTCATGGCAGGTTCGACTGTACTTGTCATGTTGCAAGCCACATTTAGAAACTCATGGACAGGAATTTTTTCCCCTCTAAACTTTTAACACACCAGTATGACCCAAAAATCGGTCATGGTGTATTTAACTATATAAAGGGTCTGGTCTATTTTTGGGTCTCGACGTACCCGTTGCTTGTAAATATCGACGTACTGGGAAGTTGAAAACGACAGCAATAATTTGCTGCTGTTGGCTTGTTGCAAGGCGACCTATTGTTCACTCTCTTTGTGGAGGCAAAAGCTGTGGCATGGTGATGCTTTTAAAAAAAGGAGTTAATTTTACAACTCCAACTCCTCATCTGTTATAGCCAGGGTTGGGTTGATTTAAATCAGTTAATTTTTAAAATTTTAAATCAACTTGATTTTTTAAATAAAAATCAGTGATTTAAATCACTTTTTGAAAAATTTATTTTTATTCAGTTTTTACATATATTTCAACATTCAGAATTCCTTTCCTTGGTTTCATAAAACAGATATAAGGTTAAGTAGACTCATATAATCATGCTTAAAAGTCTTCTTTCCCTCCTTTCCCTGTAAAATAATACAGTATTCAATTTACTTTTTTTTTCCATATATTGAAATCAGAGCTGGGTTGATTCAAATCAGTTGATTTTTTAAATTTTAATCAACTTGATTTTTAAAATAAAAATCAGTGATTTAAATCACTTTTAAAAAAATGTATTCAGTTTTTATATTTATTTGAACATTCAGAATTCCTTTCCTTGGTTTTATTAAACAGATATAAGGTTTAGTAGACTAATATAACCATGCTTTAAAGTCTGTTTTCCCCCTGTCACTGTAAAATAATACTGTATTCAATTGACTTTTTTTTCATAATTGAAATCAGGGTTGGGTTGATTTAAATCAGTTGATTAAAAAAAATTTAAATCAACTTGATTTTAAAAATAAAACTCAGTGATTTAAATCACTTTAAAAAAATGTAATCTGTTTTTACATCTTTAAACATTCAGAATTCCTTTCCTTGGTTTATAAAACAGTATATAAGGTTTAGTAGACTAATTTAATCATGCTTAAAAGTCTGCTTTCCCCCCCTGTTACTGTAAAATAATACAGTATTCAATTAACTTTTTTTTTCATTATTGAAATTAACATTTTCTTTTTCTTTTTAGACAAACACAAGCGCGCGGACACACACACACACACACACTGTAATAAAATGCAAGTTTATCTATGCATAATTTACCCCCCCCCCCCCCCCCAATGCATTTTGCACTAAAAGAACATACTTTTAGAAACCAAAAATCCCAAACTGTCGACATTTAAAAAAAAATTTTAAAAATCAAAAAAATCCGATTTAAATAAAAAAAATCTTGATTTAAATTTAAAAAAATCGATTTTAAAATTTTTTATTTTAAAAAAAATAAAATCACGAACCCTGGTTATAGCTCTCTGTGGTGTTCATTCACATGCTGTAGAGAGTTAATAGGTGCTCTCGTGTGGGTTTATTTCTTTCCTTTCAAACATCTATCGTCTTTTTCTCTCTTTTTTTTTTTTTGTACAGGGGAACTCAGATTTAACGAAGTCGTTGGGCCTGACCTTCAATTTAATTGAATTCGAGTGTTCGTAATAGCAAATGTAAGGTTTTTCTGGAGATAATTACAGTTACAGGCACCTTCGACTTTTTCAATCAGAAGCAGCCTGGTTTCAAATGAGACGGGCATTGTTTTTTTTTTTTTTATGCCACACCGAAGTAATCATCCTATAAGAGCCAGATCCGCGTATCATGATTTTGGTGCGAATAATTTTTTTTTTTTTCATCAATAGAAAGTGCGTATCATGGGCTTCATTTTTGTATAAGTTTCACTGAGTTCCCCGCCTTAAAATCGCTATAAAAAGCAAATAACTGTTTCAATTATCATAGCTGTTTGCTTCCAAGTTAACTTGTCTTGAGATGTGCAGAATGGATTTCAAAATTTTTATGCCTTTGATTACGCAACAAGAATTACTCCGGAACCGACAATAAAGCCAAGAATTTCTAAATCGAGTATCATATGATATATGATACGCTTTTAGGGCTTGATGGTTTCTGGTGTGTTGATTATTCATACATACCTATGTTAATCAGGTTTTTGTTCCTCCTGAAAAATTCGCTAAAACCTTGATACGTGGAATAAGCTCTTATAGGACGAAATGCTGGTCGATTTCAGGAAAATGCACTGAACTCTACCCAATACACACTTTGCAAAAGGGCCAATTGGTTCAAATACTTGCCTGTGTAATCTATCATCTATTATATACTGTTTGCAGAACTAGTTATGTTACTGTGTGGAGCCTAGCATACAGCAACGTTTGATTCGACAGTCCAGCTCCCAATAAACTGCGTTCAGGGCCGCGTGCGCGCGCCCCCCCCCCGTCACACATGTGCTGGCCACCCGTCCGGCCCTGACACACACTAAGGCCGCAACCATATTAACGCCCGACACCGACAGACGGACCAGACCCGCCGTTTTTGGTTGGGTGTGGCCGACCATATTAACACCGGTTTTTTGTCAGTCAGACGCCACCGTCTTGAAAATATGAGGTGTAGCAGAAGAAGAAAATTGTTGTTGTTGCTGCTTTTGAGACGCAGACAAAAAAGGAAAACCAAGACAAGAAGAGTTTCAGTTCATCCTATCCAAAGAAAGCGTGATACACTTGGTGAATTTCATCATTTGTTTCCGCAGTTGTTGGAAGATAGTGAAAAATTCCAACCATACTATCGCATGAAACATACCAGTTTCAATGAACTGCTAGAGATATGCACAGCTGACAAAGAACTGCTAGAATTCTGTGTAGTGACATTGAGGCGGGAAAGGGGACACAACTATGCAGAGATAAATCATTAAAATTACCTCCCTTCTCGCCCGGCGGACCGTCTTCGATAGAACCCGTTTTATCGGGGGGACGGTTTGGCCGGGGACGACACAGGACGTCGGGCGTCCGTATGGTAGCCGAAACCGTTTTTTGTTACCTTCCATTATTAAAAAGCCGGTGCGCATTCTTTTGTGCCCGAAGACGGTCTTGTCCGTCTGTCGGTGTCGGGCGTTAATATGGTTGCGGCCTAAGACATGTGTGCGTTCTAACAATGTCTATCTATTTTGGTATGAAAGAAGACCGCTGAGTGGTCGCATTAGATGTAAACAATAGGCTATGCGAATAAGGGTTCACAATGCAGGTGGCTTGGATGGTTTCCAGGAGTAAAGTTGGTTGTGAGAAAAATGAGCAAAGCCAGGTCAGCGGGGACTGTTCACCCTGCAAGAAACTTTGTTGAATTCGAGCTTGCTCATTTATCTGTTTGTTGAATCCAAGTTATTTTTATTGATTTTTGTGAATAGAAAAAAATGGGGAATCCAACTTCTTTCGTTGAATCCAAGTTTCAATGTATGTAACTCTTCTAATTTCAGCACTTATATGACCCATTTGAGTTGTAAGTGCTGTAAAACTCTTACCAAAACTAAAATACGCACAGGATTATGTGAGAGATAAGAAATTTATTTGTCAAAACCTGAAGAAAATTGTTGCTTGATTTCAACTTTTTTTAAATGGAGATTATGAAGGGAAAAACGATATATATCGCATGCCATCTGAGGACAACTCTTACACTCTTACAATGTGCCTACTGTCATACAAATGGAATCATGAATTTTTTCGCAATTTAACATTAAAATGTGTCCCTAATGCATGCTAAATTAAAAATATTCATTTCTTCTTTTTAAAAAAATGGAATATGTGGATAATTTACTCTGTGCTTTTGTTTCTTCTGCAGGTGAAGAAGATTCACTAACTATAAACTGGATGTATGTTCACAAAGGAGAGCCAAAACGCTGTGAATGTGGCTACTGGTTTAAGCTGGCAGATGCCCCAGTCCAGGAATACAACTGAGTTCCTATTGCATAGTCTATGTAGTGCCACTTAATTTTCACCATATTTATGTCTTTTCGTTTTAACTTGAATATGACATGGTTTATTTCCTTGGGGTAGAATGTTTGCTTTCGATTGTCGCATTGTCCATTTTGTTAAAAATTCAATGACATAACTTTCTCTGAAATGTACCAACTCTATGGGGAAGCAGAACTTTCATTTTGAAACTGTAGTAGTTCTGTTTATTTCAGTCATGACCAAGTTTTGGTTATATTCAGCTCTAATTTTAAAAAATAATAAACAAACCAGTGTATGTGGGACGGACAAAATGACAAAAGTCCTGGTGTGTACTACATTGTTGTATGCTAGGGATATCTCAAATCCATGGGATCCCTCCTGGAACAGAGATGTTGCTTGTTTTACATTTAAGTTTTAGAATTGACTTTCAAAGTGAGATTGAGAATGAATAAATACCTTGTTATGACCGAATACAAATGATATTGTTTTGTGTGTTTCTCACTATCTTTATTTGTGAGGCAGCGTGGTGGAATCAGCCTTTCGTCAATTTTTGGGCATGTAGAGTTATTGGTATCATCTTAAAGCTTGTTCACTTGTCTTTATTGGGATGAACAAAATATCCATTTATCTAGAATATAAGTCGAGATATTTGCGAAAGAAGGAGGAGGGGGTCACCTGTTTTCAGAGGTAAAATTAGTGAGCAAATGGCCGCTAAAGATTAGTTATTTCCTTAGCTTAAGAGTCCGTGGTAACTGAAAATTTACATTTTTTGTGCCTTTAATCAACGTTTTTCAGAAATATCCACACGGAAATTAGTTCTTTAATGGGCATGAAAGGTGTTGAGCCAAAAAACCCAAAAATTTGATAAAAATTCACAAACCTGCGGAAAAATACAAGTTTCTTCACTTTGATTATTTTGACGAGAGCCCGATTCCACCACGCTGTCTCACATTTCATTTACACCTTGTGTTTGTTTTGTTTTTCATTAGATTTTGCAAGTTCTCTTTGACAGTTAAAAGGGGTGCCGTATGTATTGCCATCTGTGGTGCAAAGGTCAGGCGTGGTATGTAGGAGACCCGTGTTTTGATTCCAGAGCAGGGAGAAATTTTTATAGAGTATCTGTCTTTCTGCTGGGGTGTTGTGTCCCTCTCGACGCAGATTGGCCCAGACAGGGTCAGAAGCCCACCTCCTATGTGATCGAAATTGTGTCAAGTGGGAAGTAAAAAGACCTACTGGAAAAGAGTGTAGGCCTATCGTGTACCTAACAGGTCTGATGCTCTACTCTTTGCTTCCAGTCCATGACTCGAGTTGATTGGGTACACAAATTTTTTTTACGGACTAGCCAGGGAATGAGGTTTCTTCAATACAGCACCATAGATCATGGATGTAGTGCAATGCTAGCTCACAGGAAAGGCCCTTTTACTTTTATTTACACCCTGAGGGGAAATTGCAAATACAGTCAAACCTCGTTGTACCTCCCCCCACCCCCTCCCCCGGCTTACAGTACAGTACAGCCAGGTTTTGCCAATTTATGGTTCTAAAAGGAACGCCTACTATAAACATTGTATGTTTGCATCTACCGCCAACTGTGTGAGAAATTGAGAAATGAACAAGCGGACAAACTGGTGAGCCATGCACCTGTCAATACTGACATTAAAATGGACCAAAATGATGTCGTAAAGGCCCTTGCCACCACACTTGAAGATGAGGATCTTGAGCATGACTGCGCCGATCTTACGACTTGAAGAACTGGGTGTCTTCAGAGGAAGTGGCAAAACCGGGATGGAAACACAGGTTATTATTTATTAACCAAATGAACACCGGAACGATCAGCAGATGGGACTCTGAGGTGGATATTGGAGCGGAGCATATATATATATATATAATGGCAATGCCCGAAGTGCTATATGATGTTGTTCCCAGGATCATTTAATCAAGTGTGAGAAATAGCCCGTCTGTAGCCTACTGCCAGGGATAGAGTACACACATGTAGGCCTATTAATACAGTGGAGTCCACTTATAACGAGTCCGGAAAAAACGAGATGTCTGTTATAAAGACACTATTCTAAAACTAAAACCCCGTTTTTTTCTCCTCTTTACCTTTGTAAATAAAATACTGCTATAGCGCTATCAGACAAACATGAGAGTCGGTTATAGCGGAATATTGCTGTTGCTGTGCACAGT